CCCTGGATCAAGTCCCGCATCGGGCTCCCTGCTCGGCAGGGAGTCTCCTTCTCCCTCTGACCCTCCCCCCTCTCATGTGCTTGCTCTCTCTCATTCTCTCTCTCAAATAAATAAAATAAAATCTTAAAAAAAAAAAAAAAAGAAACTTGAAGGAACACAATTATTCCCAGGGGGGTCTTCCAGAAGGGCAGATTAGGGTCTTGCTCTCCTTCCTAACCTTTAGCACACAATACTCATTTGTACAGTTCACATAAGGGGAAGAAGAATGTAGAAGAAGTGGGCTGTCAGTGGCTGAAAGTGACCCCCCTCCCCGCCCCTGGAACTCTATCAACCACGCAGTCCCCACCCGGCTACCCCAAAGCTTAGGGAACCAATATCTGCTGAAATCTGTTCTTGGCACAGGTACACAAGGGTTGTTTTGCTTTTGTTTTTGATTTTGTGTTGTTGTTGTCGTTGTTGTTGTTAGCAACTGAAACTACCATAACTGTCTTTCCCCAGTTATTTGCCCATTTCTCAGCCTGAACATATTTATGTCCTTGGGTCCTCTGGAAGGAACTCTGTAGCAGGCAGACAATGGTTCTCTCAGCAATAAACACATTTTACAATTTTCTGGTATTTCAGTAGAGAAATTTTCTGATAACCAAAAAGCTCCCAGAGTAAATCATTTGAACCAACTTTTATGTAGAAGGCTCAAAAACAACATTTTAAAACAGTTTGAAAGTTTCAGGATGAAAACGTGTTTGGGGGATTTGCTTCAGAATTATATTAGAAGAGAGGAAGATGAGTGAGGGCACAGAAGAAACAAGATTGACCATAAACTGACACCAGATTATGAGTACAAGGAGGTTCATTTCCTATTCTGTCCACTTCTGTATTATGTCTAATCTTTTCCATCATAACAAGCGTTTGCTTTTTAGTTTTATATGACAAAGCCTGGGACCTATAAAATCACACAGGTGTCCTGAGAAAACTATTCTCATACAGAAATCTGGAGTTCATAGTTATTTTTAAATCTATTCCTAATACTAGTGATTCTTTACATGCAAGAAAGAAAGAGAGCAGAGCGTCCATGTAGACTGATGACTAAATAAGATATATATAGGAAAAAATACTTCAAAAAGTATTTCCAAAAAATATTTTGAAAATACAATTTAGGGGCACCTGGGTGTCTCAGTCGGTTAAGCAGCTGCCTTCAGCTCAGGTCATGATTCCCCAGTCCTGGGATGGAGCCCTACATCGAGCTCCTTGCTCAACGGGGAGTGTGCTTCTCCCTCTCTCTCTGCCCCTTCCCCCACTTGTGCTCTTTCTCACTCTCTCTCCCTCTCACATAAATAGAGAGAGAGAGAGAGAGCGGGAGAGAGCATGAGCGGGAGAGAGCAGGAGCAGGGAGAAGAGGGAGAAGCAGGTTCCCTGCAAGCAGGGAACCTCACGCAGGGCTCAATCCCAGGATCCTGGGATCATGACCTGAGCTGAAGGCAGACGCTTAACCCACTGAGCCACCCAGGCGCCCCTAAATAAATAAAATCTTTTAAAAAAAAGAAAATACAATTTAGCATCCAAACTGTGCTTTACTATATTAATCAGTGACTATCAGAACATTCTCAGTGCTTTCACCCAGTTGATAAACAACACTTACCAAGTTCCTACAAGGAGCCTGACTTGGCATTTTTCTCAAGTCATCTCATTGGTGAGATTGTGGGAATATATTATATTTCCATTTTATAGACAAGGAAACAGCTTCAGAGAGAGCAAGTCTCCCGCCCAAGGTCACAATGAGCAGAGATAAAAGTCAGGGCTCTTTCTATTCTACTACTACTTACTTCATGCTCTTAAAAGGAAAAGATAATGGAAAATAGGACAACATTCCCATTCTGAAAACTCTGCCATTCCAGGGTGACCAGGAGTTCTCTTCTTCCTCACATCTACTCACTCTACTTCCTAACTCTTGATACTTAGAAGCCAATCTGATATGCAAAGTAGGTCAATTTTTAGGAAAAAAAGTAGAGAAAATTTGGCAAAGCAGGACAAAATGCTCTTTTTTTATTCCCCGAAAATCGAAGTATTTCTGAACCTCTAAGAGATGTTTTCAAACCATTAAAACTTTAAAATTTGAGTAGTCTAATTCAAAACTATTGAAATTACCAAATGGAATTTCCTTGGAATTAAATATCATCATTAAGTTCATAAGATGTTTACAAATTATAAAAAAGAAAAATAGGGAGTTATTTCATTCAATAGGAAAGAAAACAGTACTCTTGAAGAAATGGCTTTAAAATTATTTCTTTCGGGACCGACGTCTCTGGAACCCTCCAGACTACCTGCCCAGCTTTTAAACTGCCAAGGCTGGGGAAGGGACAATGCTGGTTTCATTGCCCATTAGAAACCCTTGATCTCTGGCATGAAGAGCTCATGGAAACAAGGTATCGGAACATTTAGGATGCCGATGTCGTCAGGAACCAGAAATTGGAAGCAGAGAAGAGGCAACTTAGCAAACATGAGCTCTGTCTTGCTGTCGGGGGGGTGACGCCGGTGGTGGGCGCCTGTGTGCGGGGCCGTTTGAGGGAAGCTGCGGCGGCGGACCTCGACCCGGCATGGAGGACATAAGGCAACGAGGCATCTTGGGGCCTAGCAGAACTGTGGATTGAAATAAACGGTAGTTCTAAAAGTGTCACCAAAAAAAAAAAAAAATTTCTTTCAATTATTCCAAATTATCTTTAAAAAAGCTCAAAGTGAGGGTACTAAAAAAAATGCTAATTTGGCTAATTTCAATCAACACACAGCTGCATTTATTGTAACCTAATTATTTGTTTATAATCAAGATTAATACTTGTATTAAAATGTTCCAGAAATTTTTTTTATTCATAAGCAACCACTCAGAAATAGAAAGCTGACTTATGTAGAGAGTTATAATGAAAGGATCAATCAATTGGAGGTCAGAAGAAATGGGATACAAGCCTGGCTGTGGTACTTAAGATCTTGTAACAAATGGGCAAGTCATTTAGTGAAGGGCAAGATAACAGGTGACAGAATAGGGAGAGGAAGAGAAAAGGACCTTAATCGAAGTCAAAGTAAAATTGGGAGGTTGTGGGTAAAATTTTATAAGAAGATCTAAAAATCATGTATGAGAACATAACAGAGTCATTCAAAAAGTGGCTGTATTTGTGGAAGTGTGTGTGTATGTGTGTGTGTGTAATCTGTCTGGCATGTTCAACTGGTTCTAATTTTTTAAATTTTAAATTAAGATCTTCTAAGTCTCCTGGGAACGTGTGGCGTTTAGATAGGACACTTGGTGTCTCAGATAAAGAGTTGTGATGCTACACAGCTGCCATGAAGAAGTGACTCAGTTGGATGATTGGAAACAGAGCACATTAATTTTCCTAAACCCAATCTCCAAAATAGTTAAATATCACTATTAATGTCAACACTCTGTTTTGCCAAACCCTTGAAAAATAAAAAAAAAAAAAAGAAGTAACATAACAGTATTTAAAAATACCTGAGTTCTCAAAAAACAAACCAACCAACCAACCTGAGCTTCTCTCACTCAAGCTAGTTTTAATTGGAGGAAAATGCAAATCAATTAAGTTATGGTTCCCTCCCACTACTAGATTTGTACTTCCTTCCCAATATAATAAACATAGTATGCAATTATGAACCTGGGAACAAAGTTCCCCTAGTTGGAAGAAAAGCAAATATGTTTGCAAATCTTGAATGAGGTGAACAGCTGAGCACTAATTGCAAAAAAAGTAAGTGCCACAGGACCAAACATCAAGAGTTGGAAGGTGTCCTTGTGGTTGGGAAAAACTGAACCAAGGTACAATCTTGTATCTCTAGAAACTACAGTATGGATAGGACTGCGTATGCATGCTATTGCAGGGCGGAGACTATGTGCTATTTATCATTTTATCCCCAGCACTTAGCAGAGGGCCTGGCACAAAATAAGCACTCAATAAATGTTTGTGGAATGAAAGAATTCTGCAACTGTAAGCTTACACAGTGTTTTTCTAATTTTTGAAAATACAGCCAACAGTAATAAACACATTTTACACCAGTTCCTGGTACACACAAACACACATATACATAACATAAAAGTTATGAAGTAACATTTTTTTTAAATTTAGGAAGTACATTCTGATAGTTTCTGTTCTGTTCTGTTTTATTGGACTTTAAAAAATATCTTGGTTATAGCCCACTGAATTGATTTAATAATCCACCAGTGAATCAAGACCAGTAGTTTAAAAAACAGATTTATATTATTTCTATTTACATTCCTTAACTTCTTACATTTTTAGGCTTCACTAACTACAGATCACTTTCAAAAATCACAGATTTCTTTTTTTATTTAGAAGGATGTTTAGAAAGTATTCATATTCTAGTATTCAACTCTAAAATGTTGCACCAGTTCTGAGTTTACTGTGTTGGGATTCTCTTTGGTCAGTGTCCTTAATTATGCGAATTTCCCCAACCAAAAGCAGGTTTGCCTTACCTCACACCATACACAAAATTTAACTAATAATAACTCCGAGACCTAAACATAAGAGATAAAACTATCAACTCTTAGAAGAGAATTTAGGAGTAAATTTTTATGGCTCTGGATTAGGAATTGATGTGACACCAAAAGAAAAATAGGTAAATTGGATTTCATTAAAATTAAAAATTCTTCTGCTTTAAATGATGCCAAGAAGAAAGTAAAAAGAACTTACTGGATGGAAGGAAATATTTGTTAATTACATATCTGATAAAGAACTTGTATACAGAATATATAAACAGATCTTATAAATTAACAATAAAAATATAAATAACCCAATTTAAAGATGAACAAAGGATTTTAATAGACTTTTCTTCAAGGAGGATACACAAATAGCCAATAAGCACATGAAAAGATGCTTGTATGATGAGTCATTAGGGAAATACAAATCAAAACCACAATGAGGTACCACTTCACACACATCAGGTTGGCTAAAATAAAAAAGACAATAACAAGTGTTGACAAGAATGTGGAGAAATTGGAACCTCCATACATGGCTGACATGAATGTAGAATGGTGCAGCCACCTTGGAAAACAGGCTGGCAGTTCCTTAAAAAATTAAACATAGAGTCACCATTTGATCAAGCAATTCTGCTCCTAGATATGTACCCAAGAGGAAGAAAAACATGTCTACACAAAACCTTGATATGAATCTTCATAACAGCATTATTCCTAATAGTCAAAAAGTAGAAACAACCCAAATATTCATCAACAGTGGATGAGTAAATGAAATGTGATATATCCATACAATGGAATATTATTTGACCATAAAAAAGAAAGAAATATCGATATGATACCACATGGATGAGCCTCAAAACATTATGCTAAGTTCAAAGAAGCATGTCACAGAAGACTTTATTGTATTTCATTTATATGATATATCCAAAATAGGTTAATCTATGGAGACAGAACTGGATTAGTGGTTAGGTAGGGTTACAGGGAATGACTGCTAATGGGTAGGAGGTTTCTTTTGAAATGGTGATGGTGGTACAACTCTGTCAATAAACTGACAAATATTGAATCATACATTTGGAACTCTGGAATGATCAAGAAGAATGCATGCAGCACTTCTACGCCTGAGTGTAGAATGTTGAGCCCTGACAACCCAGCTTACCTAGACGACAGGCAAAGAAATGGGTGGTTTCCAATGGTCAACAAATGTTCTTTTCTCGAGTCCCTACAAAGCTGTAGCTCTTCTTGTTCTAGGAGACAAATAGAAGGACACGAATCTATTGACTTTAGCTCTGAACCTTTTCAGAAGTGATACTCATCCTCACAAAATTGTCCTTCAAAAATGAGAACCTTTTGCCCTAAAGGGAAAAGAACTAAGCGTCCCCAACTAGTTAAGATGTGAAAGGACTAGAGAGCATTCTGGACAAGCAATCGATAATTTTCTTGAAGTCAGGAACGTTATTTGTCTTTGCTTTCTCAAGGAGGACCAGGCCGAGAGCGGGATGCTCAGTAAATGCGATGGGAGGAAGGGAAAAAGGTACGGCCTCAAGTCCAGAAGACCAGAGGCTTTCTGACTGGGCATCTGTGAACCCCTCTGGACGAGTCGTCACGGAGAGGGCGGCAGGAAAAGCAGCGGCCCGCAGACTGCCCAGTACATTTACCAGGCAGCATGCCCCAAACTGCTTCTCCAACGTGAGAACTTGGGATTCCCACGCCCCGCGTCCCACCCCACCCCCACCCCATGAGTCCTGATCCCTCAGTGCAGGAAACACCGCTAAAGAATTCAAGAAATGCTGTTAGTGAGTTTAAGAAATGCTTTTAATGATTAAAACTAAAACTCTATCACCTTAAGGAACTAATGAGCACCTGTGTGAAGTACAAATGCAAAAGGAGGGGGGGCGCTGAAAGTGCGCAGCACCATTGGGCCCTCGGGTAAAAACCAGGTGATCCTAAATATGATTTAATTTCTTTTTAAAGAATGTCATTAAAAATAACAGCTTGGAAAAAGGAAATCTCGCAGGGCGAAGGGTGAGACACACTGGCGTGGAGACGGAAGGCGGGCTCCGGAAACCCGCACCGCGGACTGTTCCCAGACGTGACCGTGGGCATCTTTCTGAGCTCCGTCCGGGTGCCGGCTCTGTAAAATGGGACCATTTCTGGGCCGCCTCCCAGCGGTGGCTGGGAGGAACAAGCGAGGCCGGGCCGAGCGGGTGCGCCCCAAGGCAGCCCCAGAGGCCAGGGGCC